TTCAAAGCTTCACCGAAGGGTTGAAGCAAAATCTTTTTTTTTGTTTTAGATTATCAGAGTTGGAAGGGACCTTGTAGGTCATCTAGTCCAACACGCACCCCCCAAGCAGGAGACCCCACACCATTTCTGGCAGATGGCAGTCCAGTCTCTTCTTGAAAGCTTCCAAGGATGAAGCTCCCACAACTTCCGAAGGCAACTTCTGTTCCATGGATTGTTTCTCACTGTCAGGAAATTCCTCCTTATTTCTAGGTTGAATCTCTCCTTGGTCAGTTTCCATCCATTATTCCTTGTCTGGCCTTCAGGTGCCTTGGAAAATAGCTTGACCCGCTCCTCCTCTCTGTGGCAGCCCCTCAAATATTGGAACACTGCTATCCCTGGTCCTTCTCTTCACTAGACTAGACATGCCCAGTTAAGTGGTGGGTTGCTCTTACCGTTGCTACTGGTACGCTGATCGCGGCCTGCTCATGCACACACCTGATGTGCACTGCACACGTTCCTGACATGCGGCGTGCATGCTTGTGCAATCCACTGCCCCGTGACAACCAGCTGCTTGTTGGTGCTCGCACAGGCACTGCACGCTTTGTGCTCGTGCGCAGTGTGCCTTTTGGCATAATTACAACTATAGAGCGCGGGCGGGCTGGTGGGCCAAATTAACCACCATACCAGTATGGTCTCAGCTACTCCACGGCCCTACCTGTACAGCCGTACCAGTCTGAACTGGCAGCAACCCACCACTGGCCCAGTTCCTGCAACCGTTCATCGTATGTTTTAGCCTCCAGTCCCCTCATCATCTTGGTTCCTGTTCTTTGCACTCTTTCTAGAGTCCCAACATCTTTTTTATAGTGTGGTGACCAAAACTGGATGCAATACCTGACTAATCCCTGTCTGTAATGGGACATGTGGATGACCTTGTGGGATGAGGGGAAAATATGCTGCCAAGGAAACAATCAGACAAGAGAGGGAGGAACCCTCAGTGGCTTAATGGTCAGAGAAAGAAAGGTAGGAAGGACCAGGCCCAACGTCTCAAACAATTAAAAGTGATGGTAGGACGTCTCTACTTTCGGAATTGCAAGATTCTGTTAATGTAGCCTTACAATATGGTAGAATTAGCTCATGTGGTCATATTTTCTATCTGCTTTCTTGGCAGGACTGACACCATCTCTCAGTATAGCCGAGGCGGATTCCTACTGGTTCGGACTGGTTTGGCTGAACCGGTAGTGGTTTGGCGGCCTTGGTTGCTAGAACTGGCAGCAACACAGGACTGCCACATCCCCAAACCCGGATCTCCCGTTGGCTCCATAGGCACCGCCATCTTGTTTTTTGCTTCTGTGTATGTGCAGAGCAATTTTTATTGCACTGCGCATGCGTGCACAGCACACATCAAGTGCATGAATGCACATGGCCCATGAGCTAACCGGCAGTAGTGACTGCCGGAACCCACTCTTGCAGTGTAGTATAACTGTACCTTACTGTGCCAATACCAAATAAGTACAGGTGGATAGATTAATTGGAAGCAGTTAAAAGGATGGTTTGTGATTCAGAGCTGTGAAATAGTTTGATACTCTTTAGATAATCGCTTCTCCTCTTACTCTGAATCATCTGATCTCTCTGTCCTGCATGTTGTGGAAGATGTTGAAGCACAAGTTTCACACTAGTCAAAACAGGAACCCTAACTGTCTACACCAATGGTTGTCAGTGTGGTCTGGAGATCCCCTGGGGGTCCCTAGGTCACTGTCAAGAGGTTTGCAAACTAAAATGTATGCATATTTAAAAATCTCTTTCTACTATAGTAATATTGGTAGATATAGCCTACATCATTTCTGTGGTCATCTGGTCAGCACGGCTGTGTGCTAAAGGCACATGGAATGCTGTTACCTTCCCACTGAAGTGGTATTTATGTATCTACTTTACATTTGCAGCTGGCCACATGACCACGGAAATTGTCTTTGGACAATGTTGGCTCCCTTGGCCAAGAAACAATGAGCACCATATCCTAGAACAGGGGTGTCCAACTCGAGTCTTCAGGGCGTCATCAAGTGACATATTATGACCTTTTTTCTCCTTCACTAAATTGGGTATCAGCATGGCCAGCATGTGATACATCTGGCCCACAGGCTGGGAGTTTGACAGCCCTGCCCTAGAGTCAGAAATAGGGAAACCTTTACCTTTACTTTTGTGGCCTACATAACCAAAGCTTGTTGTGATCATAAAGAGTTTATAAGAAGGCAAGGAGATCCTAAGACTAAAATGGTTGAGAAATCCTGCTCTACACCATCAACTTTAACTAAACAGAGGATGCAATCTAGTGCATGTTCATACAGTATTGGTATTTGTACCACTCCTAGATCATTTCTTGCCATTAGGATCCCATATTATCATCTTTGTTGGGTGCTTGAGCTATATTTTTATGGCTCATCTGTGATATGTCCACAGATGAGCCACATTTTAGTAGAAGCCCTACAGCTATGCAGAGCTAGCAGAAAATTTATTTCCCTTTGATTTGATCTCTTACCTAAATTATCTTCCATGTCCTAAGCTTTCTTTCCTCCCAATCGAAGCTAAAAAACCAAACCAAACCAAACCAAACCCAAGAAAGTCTAGTTGTCTTTTGGCAAAAGCTCCTTTGAGACTATCCTGACCGGGACAATTGAGAATCTCCTATAGACATTTAGGCCCATAAACTTCACACCAACATCTCCCAGCTGCTTTTACACAGATCATGGGATAGTATCTTGGCAACTTCACAACTCTATTGCAAATACTGAGAATTTCCCAAGTTGAAAAAAATACCACATGCAAGAATATAATTGCTGTAAAGTACAGTTGTGTTCTACTTTTTCAATTATTATTAGTTATTAGTGCATTGATTGACTCTTGGGGTGTTGTAAAGCATTTCAAAACTGAGAGCTATTTAAAATGCAGGCGGGTTACTTGAAACAGTTCCTGAGGATTTGCAAAATAAAAATGATTGCAGGGCACAAGAAGCCCATGAATGCACCCAATACTTTCCTGTAGAAAAATGCTGTGGCAAAGTATTGTGCAAATAACAAGGAGGTCAATCGGTGGCAATTTTTAAGAGGTCACCATTGATCTTGTCATCACAGTATTCCAGCTGAAAGACTTCCAGATAACCTTAGGCTTCTTTGAGAGCTCTTTTGAAAACACAACAAAACTGGATGACAATTCTTGCAGTAGCAATTTCAGTACACTTGGAGCAGGGGTCAGCAACCTTAAACACTCAAAGAACCACAAAGATCCTAACTGGAAGCTCCCCCTCTTCAATTCTGGAACCGACCGAAAGTCCGGTTCCCCCACCATAGAGTCTCCTCCTAGCGTGGCATCCTTTTTCCTCTACCTGTCCTAACCAATAGCCCTATCAATTGTAGATCCGATCGGCAACAGGGAGCCACAGTAGAGGGATGAAAGAGCCACATGTGGCTCCAGAGCCACAGCTTGCTGACTTCTGATCTGGAGTACAGCAAAGTACAGAATGCTAGTTTAGATGAAGCCTGCATTGATGCCTTATAGGGCAAGAACTGAACAATGATCAGTAGCGCAAAAATAACAGGGAGACATAGGTGGCACACAAGTCTTACAAACAAATAAGCAACCAAAATATTTAATTTTTTCTGCGTTATGTTTTCAGATGAAGCTCTACACTTTT